TGGTCGTATTTAGGGAATCTCTCTGTGTGTAATTGGTAGTAATTTGGTAGAGGCATTCGGGTGTCTTGTTAGTACTGTTAGGTAGAGGCTTTCTAATGTGAATTATCGATTTTTTTATATCGAACTGTCCTCGGTGAATGCCATTTAAGAAAACTATCGGTGTGTAAGGGTTTAATTTGTTGGTATATAATTGAGATTTAACTACTAATTGGACATTTGCTAACCGGAAGATAAGATTTCGGAACTCTAGTCAAAAATAGTTAATGAAAGCATATTGTGATTAATGCATATTCTTTTCTAATATTGAGGTAAAACAAAACGAGGAGATAATGCCCTTGATTGGTAAATATTCTAATTCCCCCTCTAATTGTTAAAAGTGTAACCCCCAATTCTGATTGGTAAAGAGTGTAACCCCCTTCTGATTGGTAAAGAGTGTAACCCCCTTCTGATTGGTAAAGAGAGTAATTCACCCTCTGATTGGTAAAGAGAGTAACTTACCCTCTGATTGGTAAAGAGATTAATTCATCTGCTGACATAGAGGACGAATGTCATTTTAATTGATCTGTTCGAAATTCCAAAACTCTAAATCCCGTTTTATCAGAGGTTATTTCAAAAAGAAAAAGAAAAAATGTTATAAGTTAAAGTAACATGATATTCTATAATATGTAAGAATAGTGTCTCGTAGAGTAGGGAGACAAACAATTATGGATACTATAGCAGAATAAGACTATCCTCTTTCTTTATATGTTATATACTGATAGGCCAAGGATGAAAATTGATATAAATTCTCCTACTCTGATTTCCAGTCAGTGCTTGCTAGGTTTCTGCCTTCAATAATACGTCTACTTGACTTCTAGATATGAATTTGATAAAATCTACAAATTAACGATCGTAAATATTCTACCCAACGAGACGATTTCTATGCTTCTCTATTGCCTATATGGTACTATACTTCAGGAATCAATTTATTTATAGCGAACTATTCTTTTGCGCGTGCAAACGTTCGTAACGTGATGTCACGTCTTTATTTTGTTTATTTGTGTCACAGTTTCTGTAACATTATCACATAAAATGATTAATAAGTGGTTATCAACCAGTAAACATGTCGTTTTATTGACAATATAATAGGATAAATAAATATGAAGTTATTGAAATAAGAACGAAAGTTAAACGAAACGTGCGCAGGTCAGTATACAGTTATACCGTATCACTGCTGTAGATGATGGTCCAGTTGCCATATTCGATAAGGTATCTAGATAGTGAGTTTGCATTTGCTTGTGGTTTTTCACTTTGATTATTTGTGCAATTTATGAGAATTATTTTTTTTTCTAATTATTTACTGATTCTATCTTGCGTTTTTTTCTGGGTTATTCCAAACTTTCTGAATATTTTTAAACAACATTTTTATTATTGTTTCCCCTACTAATTTATACTTTTATACCGTTAACCAGAACTATTATTTAACATTCATATATTTTTTATTGTTTCTTTAGTGCAAAAACAGAAGACAAGGGAAGTAATAGTTAGAAGCATTTATCTTGAAGCTATTGACTAGCCGCCTGCTAAACGATCATGTAAAGCATCTGCTTATAGGTTGTATAGTGTGTAACACATCACTTACGTAGAAAAGGTATGTAGTACCGTAATGTAACGGAAGAAAAAGACTCCATTAAATGTGTCGTGATGGCTGGGACCTGTCGTCTGCTTTGACAAGTGTAGCATCGTTTGTAACCAGGCCTATTCACCTCCTGACAGGTGAACCCTCCGGCACCACAACCGAGACATCTTTAGAAACAAAAGACACACACATACACACAGAAGGTAAGTGCATATTTACACGGTATTTTCATCTTTCTTTCATTTAAAATCATATTTAAAGGCCATATTGAGATTCGAACATAACGTTTTTCTTATTTAAAATTTACTTATTAAACATATATCTAGATTGTCTTCTGATAACAGCAGATTCCTATGTTCGTTTTAACACGTCGACATAGGTTTGACTGGTGTTGATGTTTTCATGTATATGATGTGCTGTACAAATTTGTCAAACAAAAACTGTCGATGAAGATTTATTTTAAGATGACTATCTGTGATATTTATGATTGAGGTTTCATGTTTTGGCTATAATTTATTTCGTTACTAGCTACAATGTAATTATATTCAGCTTACTTTACCATAAATAATATATGAGTAGATACATATCTCACTTGCAAACAACATTTAGATGTTATAGTAGCATGTGGTACATTGCTCGTAATTTAGACGTGTTCTTAGTGGTAAAACATGACTATTTGTTTTTAGTGAGGCAATAACTCTCGTGATCAATGTAATTGATTTTGTGAGCCGTGTTAGTGCATATTTGAAGACAGATGTCGATGACAGTTTATGATGAATGATTGTCTATGCTGTCTATGTATGCTTGCTGTTTTTTATCTGCAGTATAAGAAATGGTTGTATATTAATAACAAATTATTGTCGGACATTCAGGTATTTCAGGAAACTGTTTATCTATACGAGTGTCAGTGAGTATTGTATATTCATGTCTACAACTGGATTTTACTTCAGACAAAATTATGAGTATGACATTTCGATCAAAATTTAGTGAACTAGATATTATTCCTGTTGTATCCTGTTGGACCCTTAATTGTTACTAGAGGATAAAACTCTTATATTTTTACATAAAATAGTTATAGATAATTTATTGCGAAGATCAGGTTAAAGAGGAAGAAATTCCACATTTGAATTTCTTGTATAGCGCGATTGGGCTACGAGTGTGTCATCTTTCTTTGTAACTTCAAGAAGCAATGTCGACCATACATAGGTTACCTGCCACATTGCATCCCATGTACTACATGCTTCACATAGATAGGATCTGACACGAGGTTTCCTCATTTCAAACATTTTTTGTTTATTTTAACGAGCTATAGCTTATTCGTCAGGAACATATGGTCTTATTCTCCTTGTACTTTTTCAGGAGTCCCCCTAGAATTATTGAATTTTGAGTTATTGTTTTCTTCACATGGTGGCATTTTGGTGTTGTTTTGAAAGGTTCAAAGAAGACAACAATTGTAGCGCTTCTTATGGCTTAACCCCTTACCAAAGAAGCCCAAGTGCTTTTAACCATATGTTTCATATTTATTTTTGCAAATTCTGGTTTCTATGGCTTTTTCGAAATCATACATTATAACTGATGTCTTCATCTTGACGTCATCGTACAATCGGTATTATTTAACATGACGTCATTATTGTCATATTACATAGATTTAAAAGTGAAAATTTGATAAAGTGTATCAAACAAAAGTCACGCTGGTGTTAAAGATTTAATTTTGTATGTTAATTCCATTCTACACGCTAGTGTTAAAGATTTAATTTTGTATGTTAATTCCATTCTACACGCTAGTGTTAAAGATTTAATTTTGTATGTTAATTCCATTCTACACGCTAGTGTTAAAGATTAAATTTTGTATGTTAATTTTGCTAGTGTTAAAGATTAAATTTTGTATGTTAATTCCATTCTACACGCTAGTGTTAAAGATTAAATTTTGTATGTTAATTCCATTCTACACGCTAGTGTTAAAGATTTAATTTTGTATGTTAATTCCATTCTACACGCTAGTGTTAAAGATTTAATTTTGTATGTTAATTCCATTCTACACGCTAGTGTTAAAGATTAAATTTTGTATGTTAATTCCATTCTACACGCTAGTGTTAAAGATTTAATTTTGTATGTTAATTCCATTCTACACGCTAGTGTTAAAGATTTAATTTTGTATGTTAATTCCATTCTACACGCTAGTGTTAATAATTTAATTGATATATTTGCAATAACAAATTAACAAATCATAAGTCATAGTTTTTTTTTAATTTTGTGTAGCTATTTGGAGTGTAGCCAAGCTATCCACACAGATGATTTATGTTAAACGAGAGACATTAATTGACATACACTTCCTCCTGACCTTTTAACAGTTGAACTCCGTTGTGAATTTTTAGTCAGTAATGGTGTACACGGGTTACTTCCCTTTAGTTGTATTAAGTCACAAAAACAGTATACAACGAACAATGGTGTATTGTAGGTTTTACATAATAAACAAAAAATTGCTGTAAGGAACCATGTATTGAAAATTTTGACACAGACAGCCGGTTTCATTGATCATATTGAGCGTATTAATGTTGAGTTGGTAGCCATCAGTAATACGAAAGGACAAAGGAGAGAATGGATTGGCCAGACACTTATTACAGTAATACAAGGGTGCATTTAAAACCATTCTATCATACATGACATAATTTCCCTTGGTATTCATAGATTTAATGGGACCCACCATGTTGACTTACGTAATGATACACTAAACCTTTTACTGCTACATAAAGTAAAATATAATCAATTGTGTTACTGAATTTTTAACTTTTTACTTGTTTTCTTCTTGACACTTTATCATATTATTATGAAAATCTTTTCATTCTAAATAATAGTATAAATACGTTATGGTACATTACATGGTATCACAATTATATACCTGTATAGGAATTTTAAAGTTATCAACATATGAAGTCTTATGATGCTCAATGAAGAGGAATATTGTTACCTTCCAAAGTCTACATCCTGACACTTTCAACAGATAAATAACCGACATTTAGCGATGTTCACTGAGTTGTTAAATTAACTAGATAAGTATGTACTTACTCTACTAACATACAATTAAGTATATGTAAACATAGATGTGAACAGAATGTTCAAAATAACGATTACATTGTCGCGAAAACAATTCTGTTACACTTTTAATGTAGACTAAGTCTTAGAATAAAAAAACCCACAAGGAAATGAAAAGTGGGTTTGACAACGTTTTGTTCAACAACAGGTCACAGATGTCCAAAAGTCCATGTTTGATCTAGTTCTAGTTCGGATGACAATTATTTGAGCTTGTTATTATTTAAGTATGTTCATTCATCTTTTTACATTGCTTTTATGTTCTTGTTTATCATTCCAGCTTCTTATAATCATGCGGGTGGTCCATTCTCCATTATTATGGCTGACGTTAGCTGCAGTTGTGTCGGTAGTGGTGAAAGCACAAAGTAAGTTGTCATATTTTTACTTACGTTCGTAAAGATTACACTTATCTACATGTAACAGGCCATAATAAAAATATATGATTGACGATTCACTATTATAGAATAGAACGAATAGTATAAACTTCTTACAGCTATTTACTTTTCTATTTGTTGCTATTTTAAAATATGTAATTTGTATCACAAATGCGGTTTGTTAACTTAAATGTTATAAGAAATAAAATAGTATACATTTATCACATCATCCCGTGAATTCGCCCATGTGATATCTTTATATGTATCCCTAGTGTAATATACCATGAGGCGTGTCGCATTGGCTTAGCCGCCAGTTAGAAATTTAATGTGAAGTCATAGTAAAGACAATGATGTCATGAATTGAAAATTCAGTAAAATGCCTGCTTTTGAGTGTCTACTACATTTTGACTTTAAATTCTGACAAAACGTGAATTTCTGAATCATGTGATAAAACGTATCCAATATCAGTTTTCATTTCATATATGACTTTATAACATTCATCTCGGACTTTTCAATTTATGCTCGCCAGGATCGTAAAAATGAAATCTCATATGAAATGAAATTCAAGATCTTAATTATATTTGTATATAAAGAGATTTAAGTCATTTGATATGGCAACACAATGATGGTGTATGATGTTTGATCCCTAAGGTGAAGTCGAGATAGAAATGGCATAAAAGTGAAGTAGGAGAGGGTTGATAACAGAACGGAATATCTTCAAATTATACTTTAAGACAGCATTGTTGTTATTTAAAAGCCATGTCAAAATTTTTGAGATTTGACAATCCTAGTAATGCTGTAAAAGTGTTCGTGTCATTGACGCTTCCTTATAACCTGCGCTACTTTCTAATAACTGGTTTTTATTACTTTTCAGTGGAATGTATCAAATACCTCAGTAGTGCAGAGGGATTATTTAAGAAGCCTTTCTATATGAAGTCCCATTATCAAAACTCTGTAATCACCAATGTGACATTAATTGAACGTCATTCATACTACAAGTGTGAACCAGCGGAGGATAAGTATGGAATAGACAGCAGTGGGCAGGAATGGTGGGTGTTCAGGGGATGTGGCGGAGTGTTCGACATTGAGGAATGTTCTCAAGGAAGCCCTCTTCAACTCAAGGTCAAAGAAGACATACCTGCTGAACAGAGGGAGATGGAAAAGAAAACCATGCAGGAATTTGGAGTTTCACAGGTGGGAATTTTATAAATCTTGAATATGTACTATCAAATCTAGCAGTTCCATTGTTGATTGTATATGAGCAATGGTTTGGTTTTGTAAAATAAGCAAGTAGTTAAGCTATTTATATATTCAGTTCTGGCGGTTTAACTTGGATATTTGATGATTATCCTGTCTATCGATATTTTTCACAATTGCCATGTAACATTAATGTTTCGTAAACCTTAATTTAAGGATTTTACCATTGTTAATTTTGTCACCATACAATCCATTTTATTCTTGAATATGTACCTTCGCAGTCATCATCATCATCATCATCATCATCATCATCATCATCATCATCATCATCATCACGGCGTGAATGTCATTATTGTAAATTATCACAGAGATTATTTATTACAGGATTACTTACAGGCATTTGTTTTGTTTCATATGAACATGTATGTAGTAACAAAATCACATGAGAATATCTCTTAAAATGACTGTAATTTTACAATGATAATGGATTCAAACCTAACTAAATCATGCTGACTTTTGACTCCCAGCCTTGACTCCTGGTAAGATCTGGTTACCAACGACCCCTAGTTTATATGTATTACTGATACGGGATATTTAATATGCATTGTAACATTATAATATTGTTTTATTGTCAAATAATTATAAATCGTTGTTCCTTTTCCCTTTATTACCTTCTGCTAAATAACAAAAATCATATTACCCCTAGTTATTCTAGTTATTCTAAACCAGTAACTCTCTTTATAATCATAACAATTAACACACCGGCTCTTTGCAATGGTAAACATCCCGTAAATATATTTAATTAATCAGATTTCAGGCAGGTTTCTTCTCTAAATAATTGCTTGTTACATGTAAACGGTATGTGATACTCTGTAGATTTAACGACTTTCAAAAGAAAATGTTTCCTTTTTAAGAGAAGCTTCATTTTGTAAACATCTAAGAGGTAATTTTAACTTAAAACAGACAAGTGAAAAAATATAGTTTGGCTCGCTAAAGAGCACCTGTCATACTATACATAGCAAGATATTTCTGTTATGTACATTAGTTAATTTTTTCACGTGCTGTTATAGGCAGTTAAAATTTATCACTAAATACCAATGTTTAGACATTGAAGTGTAAGCTGAAAATAGTAAATTGTCCCTAAAGTATTTTCTATGTATATCCTGTATTTCAGAATTCAAACGTCTCTGAATTTTCTGTTTTCAAGAAACTTTCGTTTACAGAATTTAATTTATAACTTTCATGTATTGTTTTAACTGTTTTGAGTCTCGTTTATCAGCGAAATTACGTAATCTGGTTAATTACCTATACAGATTGACATGTACAAATTTCAGACAAGTGCCGAGATAAAGGAATATGGTAAAGATCACAGAGAATTGTGTTTTTTAGTTAGTGTGTGTCATTAATCCGTTTACGTTAGTCTCAACTAAAAAAGTGTTTATATCGACTTTTTATTGTTGAATTTTTTAGTTGTATTAGAGAGATAAATGCACATGTTTCTCTTTAAATGATCTCTCTAATTAGGGAGGCGATCTCTGCACAGCAATGTACTGCATCAATTAGAATTTTCCAGGGCCCCAATTTTTCGTTAATTTCGTTAATAAGCCAAAGTAGTAAAAAAGTATATACTATTGAAATAAAATTAATAGTGATAATTATAGTTATTTAAAGATTATTGCCTGAAAAATGCATCCTTTCTACTTTTGACTATTGGTAAAGCGCGAAAATTTTAACCATCGAAAAACACAAAATTCATAGTCACATATGTGAGTTTGTACAACCAAGTTATTCATCATCGCTCTATCGTTCTAGAAAACATTTTTATCACCCGTGCTACGCGTCTGAAAGTTAATAAGAATGATTGATAGATTTAATTGAAGATACTTTCCCTAAATATATGTATCATACATAATGGAAAAACTTCGTGACGACGACGTTAAGTGTTTTTGAAACTAATACATTTAGAAGCTAAAAGATTTACGAATATATATAACTTGAAACAATACTTTTATGCTGAGTTATTTCAAATAGGTTAAACAGTATATGAATAGAGTGTGGGAAAGACCACAAAATGCTGCTTACAAATATATGTATTGCTATATATTTAGTTTTAGTTTATATCTACAATTAGATTTTGTCGTTGGGAACTAATATATCACAATAACATACGCATAGATGTAGAATAATAAACTACTAATAATGGTTAAGTGGGAGAAAAAGTTTATTTGGTAATTAGTTCAAATAGTATTCTGTGTAACAAGTGTAACAAATGCTTGTGGTATATAGTGTTAATTGTCAGGAGTCCAATGATTCCACTAAAACTGATGGGTTGCATATCATTGTAACGTTAACGGGCTTCAAATGAGACATTGTAAATACTTCTTATACAGGTGAAGAAAACCGGTTTCTTGTCATATGATGCGTGTTGTAACGTATTAAATAAAATCAACTAATCAGTATTTCATATTCTCTGGACTTATAATTGGACTCAATAACTGATTGCGATCTTATAGGATCTACGAATTCTGAGTTGCCATCTGAACATTTGAGCTTAAAGCGCTTTATGCCAGCAGACTCTCATTGTCTTCGTTCATGTCTTTCTTAGCAGATTAAATACTGTTTTGTGAAATGTCATATCGTATGATGACACTCGTTAAGATGATTTCTATATTATCTAAAGTAAGTTGGAATAATCTTATTTGTATAATAAGCAATATTCATTCTCTAATATGTTTGTTTTTCATTGCTTACAGAGGGAACTGACCAACTTTTGAATCTTCAAGACGGAGATGAATAGCGTTCTTCTGTATGATATGCTAGACTATTTATAACAACATTAAAGGGAAGAGTGTTAAGTGTTTTGTTGTGATATTTTATTGATTTCCATCGACGATCTTGAGCACATGTCTCGAACGTTAACAAAGTTTGGTATATTTAGAAAAGTATTAAATGATAATAATTCAATTTGTACATTTAGTCAGCAATGAACTGGATACATTTGAAAAAAACGATATCGTATGTAATGCTTAAGAAGAGCAACAAGGAGGTAAGAGTACATTTTATGTTAGCAAAAACAGAGTTCAAACTCCAAATTAATGATACGCCAGCAAAATATGAAAGCAAATGAAAGATTTACCCGGATATTTACATAACAAAACATTTTACTTATCAAAGCATGTCTACTAATTCTGTCGTTGCAGTGATACATAAAATGTTTAACAAGCAATAACAAACAGCGGAGATTTCAGGCAGTGCATATATCAGTTTAATATTTAACAATTTTATTTGCCACAAAAATGTACTTATGCATTCAATATATCCAGTAAGAGTTTTGAAATGTACAAATCACGAAATTGAACGTTCTATTGAAATGTTATTGCAACAAAAGAATCTGCACTTTACGGAAAACAGGTAAATGACAGTATACAATATATATTCTTCATTTTTCTATAGTATTTCAACGTTCTTTTCCATGTATCGGTCATAAAACCACAACATGGAGTTATCAAGGAGATATAAGTTACTAGTCCACAGTATTGAAAAAAGATATTACGATCTATAGGCCTGAAAATGAAAGCAGCATTATGGAAAGGGTAAATATTCAGAGTAGGGAAAGTGCCTAGAGATAACAATTAAATGTCCACAGTATGGAAACTGCATGGAGTGAAATTTATCAGTCATAATAGTCCGGAGCTACTCGCCTTTGGTTGTACCTGCAAAGGAATAAGAATATTTTGTTAAGTGGAGAATTTCAATAAAACATAAATCAAAAGAAGGCATCGAAAAGGATACATTTGAAACGTGTAACACCATAATCATGATTTAATATCAACAGCCATCATCGATGTTGTAATCAAACTATCCCCAGTTTGAGATTCGTGTGCAGAAATATGGTCTCATTCCAGGTATTGGGAAAAAAAATTATATTTTAATCGGGAAATATAAAAATAAGCACAATTTTACGTTGAGATGATGCATGGAAAGGTTTTTTTCAGGAGGCATGTAAGCTCATAATGAAGGATATTTTTATTCTATTCTATTCCCGAATGATACTTACTTTTTCATAGCATTGTATCGTACTTCAAAATAGTCGATACTGAAAAACAATAATGTAAAGTTAACATGATATGAAAAGGTAAAGGGAAAAAACAACATAAATGTTTTGCGTTAGCCTGCAGCGGTTCGTGTTGACTGTTGTTGAAATTTACGTTAACTGGAACTTCAGAGAATCAGTAATAGAAGCACATGCCTTGCCTAGTTAAGGATCCGTAATACGGAGTTCAGCTTTGACAGGGATCAGTTCCTTATTGTAACACAATATCAATATTTTTGTGCTCGCAAGTTTCCTTATGTACCCTGCTTATACAGTATTTAGTTTCGATAGCAATTTGACATGTCTACATAACAGAAATAATTATGATATTAATAATGTTTTTGTAGACCATGAATACTTACTCCTCATTTTCAGGTTTTACGTCACTGTAATGATAGGAAGATGCATTTACTTTAACGTCCATGTAGGGATGTAATACTTAGAAATATGCATTCGAAAGAAAAATACTATGACTGTGCATTTACAAAATATCACGACACAGTCAAAATAATTATTATCATTTCTTTATAAAAAGGGGGTTTTACAGAACGTTTGACACATTATAACACACATCGTACTAACGATAACTTTACTTAGTAAGATTTGACATACATGTGATTTCCGGAATTTTAACAGCCCTGTCTGTTTTTGTGTGTAAATCATTAGGTTATAAAGTTTCAAAAAATGAAGGACAAATTAGAAACACATCTGAAAAATGCTTACTCGTCATAACCTTCATCTTCGTTCATTTTTCTGTAATACTTGGATGTTCTTACGGCAATCACAACAGCGGGAATAGCAAACATCAAACCCCAGCCAAGTCCGAACCAGAAACCATTCTGTACAAGTACAAAAGCGCATGTAAGTATTCAGTCACGTAGATCAATGGCCAGAGAACTAACATTATTCTGTACGAATGAACCCAAGTCGTTTTCACTTTCCATGAAAGGCAATATCGTCCACCAGTTTTCTCAACATTACATGATTGAATAATTATCGAACGTTAGCTATACAAAACAGTGTAATTAAAGTGCCTAAGATGCAAATATCACTAAAAGTATGGTAGCTGAGTACCCGAATAATTTACACGTACTAGAGCATCCACAGTGTAACTGCACAGCATCGTTGTCATTGATTCATAGAGTGTCCACAAAGGTAGGCATTTCGCCAAGTCGTTGTACACCTGAAATATTCAATATGCTGTGTTCTACATCTGTATTAGCTTATACTTAACTAAATTATTTATCACCTGCAATCAGGTTGTTATCTTTACACCGCAGTTACTGACTTTTATTTGATTTCATAATATGCTATTCCATTCTGTCTTTTGTACAATCATGATTTATGCGTTTCATAATATGCTACATATTGTACTTTATTGGCTTGTAGCAAGTTGCATTTTTATGAACTTATTTATATACATTAATTGAAAAAAAAAGGTAAATGTTTTATTCAAATCATGAGGTGTCAATGACTTTGTAGTCATATAACTTACGGTCCGTGAAAAAACTTCGATACATCGAAAAGTTCAATTAAGAAAATTTCGATTTGTAAAGTGGTAAGTTAGTAGTAATATATAGAAATAAAATTCGGGACCGAACAAAAATTTCAATACATTGAGAAATTCGAATCATCGAAGTCCGATACATAGAAGTTTGACTGTATCTAAAACATTTCCTGAAGAACAATTGTAGCAAAGTTTCTTTTGATTACACATAGATTAACAAAAGTGGTGAAACCTATCAACAATACTATTCAGATTGTACAAAAGACACAAAAGTGAACTATACAGCTGTTTCGTCCTTATAAGACCCGTCATTGATCAAAAGAGCATAAATTTTAAAGCCTAAGAGGCGACTGAGGAAAATCCAAAGTGATTAAAAGAAAAGTCTAAGTGGGGGAGTGCACTTGCCCCAAAATTAAATAATTTCGTTAATTTCATATTTCAGAAAATGTCAGTGCCTACCATCTGAAGTCTTCAAGATAGTACAAATGACACAATATTTCAAAGGCGAAATATATGCCACGAAGTATATACGTCAACAGAGAAAATGGAATATTCTGTTTCTCGATTCTATTCCAAACTCCAATGATATCAAATTGAATACAAGATGATAGATGAAACAGTATAAACATAATTCTGACTATATTCCTTTAAAAAAAACTTACCATATCACGGACTTTGAGAATATAACAATCAACGTAGGATAACATTTGGTTTTTAAAGGCTACAGCTGCTGACGTTAAAACGGAAGTGACGTTATTTTGAATTTGGTCATCTGCTGCAGCAGCTGTCGCCAGAACGTTGTCAATCTGGGCCTGTCAAGTACAATGATTGATTAATATATTTTAACCAGTGATATATAGGTACCATGTGCTGTAATTTTTTCTTTACGCTGTTTCAATCTATGAAGAAAAGCTTTATCTTGGGAACAAGCTCTAGAATATCAAATCAACTGCGACAAGTCAACACCGCCCTTTTGGGAAGCAGGAATTGTACTGTCTAGAAACTAAATATTCAAATTTAGGACGTATACATCTTGCTGATAACAGCTTCTGAATGTGAGACTGTTGTGTCCTAAATTTCACACAAGAAAACTGTAAGACAGGATAAATAACTTACTGTTTATTATATTAAATGAATCATCATTATATTTCTGTGTGTGGATTTTGTTAGTCTTTGGCACAGGTTTCAATAAGTGTTTCGATTAATTCTGCCTTATATGAAAACAGAAAAGGCAGTTCCCATGCGCATGTTTGTTGAAAGATCTTTGCGCCTCTCTATCCATCGACATGTACAAAAAGTAGTTTAAGAGAAACAAAATCAAAGCTGAAATATCATGACAACCTCCCAAACATAAATAAAGCGTGTGAGGAACTCCAACTACCATTGGGAGAATAGACAGTGTAGTCAAAGTAATCTCACATCTTATCGAAGTTTTGCACATCAACCCATTAACATAACAATCTATCTTCTGTCCATTTCTATTATGATAAACTGAGTACATGTTTAAATTCACACCTTTATTTTAGGAAACGACAGCGAATAGTTAATAGCTGATAAATTGGATTACGTACAAAGTGTTACATTCGGTAGATAAATGTGCGTCATACATTCGGTACTTACTGTTACTCCTCCAATGGAATTCTCTAGAGCGCTTAAAGATGTCTGTAGAGTCGACTTTAACATAATAAAAACATATTAACGCTTGATATATTAACCTATTGAATTACTTGATAAAGTCTACAAAATAAGCTTATGTCACTGATTTTTTTTGTTATTAACAAATAAACCACTAAAGTCGAAGTGAATGTAATTATTCTCGCAATCATTTTGAATTGTAATACCATATATCTATACATTTTCAATTCATGAGATGAAGTACTGAGCAGATGAAAAATTTATCAAATTGAATAGAATAGATATATATGTGAATAAATGAAGTAAGTGGTATCTTATTGTCAGCAAAAGAGGAACTCGTGATGAGGTACAAAGTGTAACTGATTACCTTAGCTGATTCTACAGCAGGTAAATCGACGTCCCTTATAGTTGTTGTTGTCGAGATATGTGTCTGCCATCTTGACTAGAACAACACATTATAAAACAAAAATGATAAATACCAACAATTAATTACCGCATTTTCAAAATAATATTTCAGAAATGAAATACCGTCTACCAACCCACAATGCCCCGTTATACCACTGCGGTTTTTTCTATCCTTTTGCATGTCATCAAAATTACAAACATTGCCTGTCACCAATGATAATATCGCTTATGCTTCATAGGTTTTAATTGATTTTGATATAGTAAAATAATGTTTTTAATATTGTTTCAAAGATGAAAACTTCTGGCTTACTAGATATTTTATAAAATTCTAATTTATCCAGAATCTTAGATACAATCTCCGAAATTTTTAAAATTAATGTCTTTCTTAACTTTAAATCAATGTTTTTTCCTTGACGTATTGATTAATGATCAACAAATGTGTATAACTGTTTATATATGAGTTTGTATGATCAAATGAACACTAAACAGACTTGAATTACCTGTGATGTACCAGTACATTGACTTTTAATCGCCGTCATGGCAGATATAGTTGATGTAAAGTCTACTGATGTTATACTTTGGGCAAGCTGTAAAACCAAAACCACGAATATCAAAATATTGTAAACAGGGAAGTAAGGTAAAGGTTTATGTTCAAAGAATATCAGGACAGAGCTCTAGATTAGAGTTGTTATGAAATATGGATACTGATCTCATCTTTAAGCCCACACACACGCGCGCTTGCTTGCGCTTTTAGCATTCATTCTTCATTTTGCATTTTTGGAAAAATCTCTAAAGGCATGTTAATGTATCTCTGTGATAAAAAGGATTATAGAATTTAAATAAAAAATAAACTTGGGATGGACGATGATTTCTTTGATTTAGAGTTATCCGTGAGGAAGACACAATAAGTAGTAATAATTACATTACATCTATTAGCTAATTAAGTAATTCTAACATTACAAGATAAACTTGTATCTCTATTTTACATCACGTATTACAATATCAGTAGTATAATTTGCGTTTACACTCCTAATTACGTACCTTAGAATCACTAACTCACCGTAGAATTCATAGTTGCAAAGTCTATTGAATCTATACCCGAGTTTTTGAAGTCGTTTAAACTGTTCTGCATGTCCGTCGTTAGTACCTTGTAGTTGGATAGGTCGACATTGTTTGCCATGTCATTTAACTGAGAGTCGATGTCTCCCAGATACTGAAATGTAAATAAAATCAGTAACCTGCCTTAGGTTATTTAATGTTACATTTCCTAAAGTACTGGTTGGTGTAAACCACTTTAATATGATTGAAAGTACGTAAAAAACGTGTGAAGAGCTGCATTGTGGTTAACAAACATTTACAATATAGCAAGTCTGAGAAATGTTATAATTCAATGATAAACACCTACTTGTGAGTAGTTGAGAGCAGTATCCAAAGGTAATATAGCGTCAAGTTGTAACAGTTTGAAAGGTGCTTTATTGGCACGGCATCCGCTGAAATATGTCAATTTAAAAGTGTTCACAGTATTGTACCTTGTGCCTCTGTCGTCACAAAACATGTTTTCGAATAGTGCAGTGAAAATACTTTTATATTTATAACACCTTTACAATTTCAATATTCAAACACTAGATATCATCGAAGAAATATAAGCAAATATAGTTTCAAACTAACCTACTTTAAACAGATTCGTGAGAATGGTACAGTACAAAACAGGAGATATGTTACACCTGGCATCCCTTTCTAGGATGGTATGATAGTCAAAAACAATATAAAAAGAACAGCAAGAGTCAAATAGTTCGTTCAGCCGAGACGGGATTTGAATAAATGAAACTATTAATTGTTAAATTCTTTTATTTTAAACAATATGGTTGTTTGCAACGTAACGTATTAAACTAAAAGTGAAGATTACAAAGTCAAAAGTCAAGCTCAATTACTTAAATTAATAGATGGAGTAGAATATAATTATTCCCAAGTATTACTTATGAAGTCTTCCATGTATTTATTTGTCAGAGTTTGCGGGGTCATGCTTACATGAGGAGGCCGTACATACTGATGGTGATTGATGCATTACTCAACAACATTTCTCCCATGTTAAAACTTGAGAGTGCTCCACTATCCAGAAACTGAAATACATGTGTAGTTATTCTTTACTACAACTTGTCCAACGGATAATAACAAATTACAATGAAATCGTTTTCAACAATATCACTAATTACAGAAAAGAATGGGTAATATAAACCTTTGTCTTTTTTCTTTCACTTTTTTCTTTCTCTTTTTAAAATCGAAATGTTAGTACGACAGCTAATATATAACTTATATATCAAAAGAAGATCTGCAGAGGCAATTATAAAGTACAATTAGAAAAAGAGCAAGTTTTCCGAAAGGATTAATGCCCGTAATTCTAATGCCAAGTTCTACTTAGAAACAAATAAGAAAAAATGGTGCATATCCTCTTCTTCTTCAAAGATATTAGATTTGTGTTTTGTTGCATTCAATGGAAAATAAAACATATTTTCATATAATGTATGGTTTGTAAATTTCTTATTCATCATAGGTTTTAGTGATATCAAACTCCTTACGTCTTTGAAAATGGTCAGGTCGATCATTGTCTGACAGATTTTTTCTAAGTTTCCGCCAATCATAAAAGAAAGTGTGGTTAGCAGCATCAGGAAACCGGAGAGTAGGAAGATAAGCGCTGTGCCTCTGAAACCAAAATTATCTTCAAACCATGGTTTTATAGTTATATGCCAATCTAACCAGTGGTTTAGATATTCAAAATGTCATTTCATGGAACTTCGCATTTTAAGAAATTATTTTTTTTTTCAGAAATTTGTAATAATTCCTGTAGGATGGATGTGTCAAATTACATTTGAACATGTATACCTGTGGGAAATGACATTAACCAATATTCAAAATACAGAAGATTTTTTTCGTTCAATTTTCGTTCTAGTAGATATAAATCCTCTGTTATACAAAACCATTCATCTTTCTGTAAATATACTATTTCAACGTTTATTTTTCACACTTCCGATGATTAAACTATCGCGCTAAACATGATAGTATATTATTCTTTCCTATTACACAAATCTTGTGTATTTCATCTACCTACATCTCGTAAATTTAAGGATGCACTTATTTTTGAGCCCGTCAATATATATTTTCTTTCAACATTATCACTCAATTAATTACTAAAGTAAAGCGATAACTTGGCATGACTTACATCATCATGAGACAGCCACCACAGCTTGGAATACATCCTCTTTCCGTTGGCCGAACGTTCTCTCCCAGGCATGCGCAACCACACAAGATACCAATCAAGAACATCAGCGGGATCAAGGAGAATACGCCCATTAAACCATACCCAAAGTATACCCTGTGTGATGAATATACGAGTGGCTTAGAGACCTATTCAATATCTGGAACCGTTGATACCGTACTGGCCGCAAATTACTACTCCGTGCTGAGCATGATATTTAAAAATTATTATGTATGTATTTTCCAATAAAAATTATGTTGAATTCTGATAGCAATGTTCAAAATAGATGTATTTTCATTCTCTGACAAGTATGTCTGACAGAATAATGAAATGAATAAAATAATGGTAAATGAAATTGAAAAAGTACATGCAATATACAGAATGATAAAGTCAAAATGAAAATGAAATGAGTGGTATGTCAACTAAAAGCAATTGTTTCACACTTTCATAATTTGTCCTACAATAGAAACAAATGTAACATTTAGCTATTACTATATCTCTGTTAGTCCTATTCTTCTTGATATTAGTTTAGATCTATTTACCGATACAGATCGTAGTCCTTTGCAGTCGTGAAAAGAGTTTTCATGTCCGCCTTTATTTTATCAGTACCAAACTCCTGAAATGAAAAATCCATGATCACTATAGTAATTGTGAAGGTATTTAAAACAAATGGTATAAACTACGAAGACAAAACAAGTACCATAATCCAAACTCAAACTCAATTAAACTAGGGGAAAATATGAACAAAAGAAAGATTTACATGGAAACTCCTAAAAGTACATGGAGACCAAATAAGCAACGTCACGTTCTCGAATGAGAGCAAGATATACAAAAGTAGAACCAAAGGCAAACTGACGAGCATCTAACGCGTCCAGCTTCATATCACACAAAGAATAGAATTTTCCTAAATGAGATCACTATGTCCTTCTCTTAGTATGATAACATTATATCTGACGAAAAACGAAAACGTGATGTTCATACAAAAACTGTAAGCATTTCCTGATATTTTCAAATGATTTGAAATTCAGCAAACGCAGGTATTAGATTGAATTTATGTTACAGTGCTTGAAATTAGTATATAAGGTACTTACGGTGTCCAGGTTACTCATAAGGTCATCTATCATGGTGTTTAGGGTACTTTTGAATGTATCCATCGTCGTTTGAAGGGCTGAAATAATGTAAAATTCAGTATTTGTTTTTATTTTATAGGATGTTTCGATCCTTCCACTCACGGACAACGGTATATCACAGCCCGTGATTTCATCAATCTCTACACACTGACAAAATACTTTTTTGTTTTTGTTTTTAATTTTAAGACATGAACGTACTTAATCAAACAATACATTTGATTCCAATACAAAACTTACTTTGTTATGTGTGGCACCATGCTTTAATTTATACGGGATTCATTTAACCAAACTATTAAATTACTTCCTAACGAAACTTGACACATTCAAGATCCATTTTAATGTACTTTTCTAATAATTAGCACCATGATGCAGATATATTTACTCACAATCTCGCACCGTCACAGTGGAGCTGTTAACAGTGACCGCTATGCCGTCCAGCGCAGAACTGGCCTGTAGATGTAGTGTGGAATAAAATATTTGTTGTTTTAGTATCAGTAAAGTGCACAATGTAGACCATGCACTACTGCATCAAAACTAAACAACAACGGAGAAACGTTGAGAAATAGGCCGAAAAACAAATTAATGATTCTGTTTTCGATTATACGACAATATCACATTATAGCAGAAAGAACTTTGACAAGTAATCTTTTTTTTTTCGTTTTCATCTAATTTTTCTTTATAAGTATACATTATATAACATTAAATTTATATCAGTGAAAACAGCAATATATGATGAATGTTATGAATCAAAACGACTGCTTCATTGATATTTTAAGCTTTACTTACCGAATTGGCGATACCAGTGAGGTTCTGTGCCACCACAGCATCCACAGCCGATTGAGTCGACGTTAGATCTGGTAACTTTTGTGAAAGAGGAAACATATTGTAAGGGAAACTGGGATTGCAGGTCATGGTCGCAATGTCAAAACAGGAATATGTCAGAAGGAAAATGACATCTTTTCATTCTATGAACATATTTACCAATGGAGTGGTTCCATAAGAGCGTTTGTACCCCTTTGTAAACATAGTTTTATAGAGTATATGTGCAAAAGCTATATTGTTGTAATACTGAAATGAAATACAGCCTCTCCTGTTGCGAAGTTAGAAAACAACAAAAAAATACCTTACCAAAGAGTTCAAAAGTAATAGACATTACACAAAGCATTATTATCACTATATAATCATTTCTATCATATTGTCCTTTTCCTTTTCATTAACATTCAATGTGATATATATGTGAAGTGATTTATACAAAATTGAAAAGTTGTATAAAGCGTCAATAAGACTTGGAATCTTACTTTAAAACGATACAAAACGATAATAAAAGCTACTTCCAAATGCACGAAATAAAACACGGGTGGACTATTTTCTACTTACCGTGGAAAAATCCGCATCTACAGTAAGTCCAGATGTAGAGAAGCTATCGCAGGCGGTGGTAGGTACGCAGTCACTGGAGCAAGATGATTTTGTAGTGGTGATGTCAGAAGCTAGAGTATTCATCGATGATTCCAGAGTATTAGCCGCACTCTGTAGAGCCGTGATATCAGAAATCACTTGTGCCATGTTTGTACTGATGGAATTTAAAGCTAAAGAACAATTAGATAATACAAAACGAAAGTGAAAGTGTTAGAAGCCAAAATCACCAAATCATTAATGTCTGTTTTATATGAGAGTAGTGTATATTTAATGATCGACAATTAATCATCAGCTGTTTCTAGATATACCAAATATATGTATATGTTATTGGTGATTACGTTACACATCAATATAATCATTCTTTCTACATAAAAATGTACTACTATTTATTGACACGTATCAATACAAATATAATCTGTCAAAATAACTATATGTCTATATTTAGTAAAACCATTAAATGAAAAATATGAAAGAGTGGGAAACTAGAAGACATGACATCCGACAAACAGAGTATTGCATGACACGTGTCACCGTTGCAAGATAACATGCTTACTATCATTGCTTTATTATCTGAGTACCTTTTCGGGAGTAATATTTTGCCATAATTTTATTAAATTAAACTTCGAATGATGTAAACAAGTCGGTATTTCTGTTGTTTCTATTTTCTGAATGTATGAGAAAACATCGATAATTCTTGGCGTAATACAAACCATCTGTTAATTACAATATCCAATATTAATATCATATTACTGAATACTCACTCGTATCAAGGGCGATGATAGTGTCGATGACTGTTGTAATATCAAGTGTCGATCTGATAGAGTTGTATACCAGTGGACCAAGATCTGGGGAATAGTATAAACTTTGAATATCATACTTCCGTATCCACTGTCTGCTTTGTTGTTAGATGTGCAAACGTACATGTTTATAATAGTTTTCTATGTATATCTCATAACGAAAAAAAAGTTTTGAAAAAAAAATTGTGCGTGTTTATCATATCCAAACATTTGTTTCCTTACCTCCAATATCCGATATGATAGATCGACTCACGATGTCATACATATCCAGTGCAATGTATGTAAGCTCCTGAAGAGAAATGAAATTATGGTCTATATAAAATTTTTGTTTGATTTAGATCTATTAAGTAAATTCTCATGTCAATATAAGATAACAAAAGGTATATAACATCATACTTAGTTGTTGAATAAAAACAACTTTTCATTTTCAATTTCAGAATTTCAAGTTATGTTAGAGGTAACAAAATACATAACAAACAAACAAACAAAAACAAATCGCTGACATAATGGCAGGTTTCCTTTCATCGTTTTATAAGAGGGGAGAAAATTCATACATACACTAGCCGAATTGTTGATGTAGGAGTTTAAATCGTCCAGATTGTCGGCGATGGTAATATCGGCGTAATCAAGAGCCTTTGTAAATCGGTCATTTGTGGAATAAACACACGCTGCAGAAGCACTGTAGAAATATACAAACAGATAAAACCACTGTCTTCTCACATAGTTAATAGTTATTATTTACGGTATTGATAAATATCTAAACACCAAAATTACTCACAATAAACAAACTGAGATTAGGAAGAGCGCCTGCGCAAACCCCATTCTTTTACAGCCTTCATTTTCGTCGTACACCTGAAATATAAGTGATTTTTAGACATTGTGTACTTTACGTATCACTCCCTTCACTTTTTATCTTTTAGAATCATAAATTCATCAAGCATTGGCTGTTTTGGATCCAGTAATGCGAAGGAACTACATATGTATCGATATTACTAATACCAACGAAATTCTTACCAACTATGACGGTTAAACTTATTTGTATCTGAATCTTGTTGGTAAATACATACTTCATAATCATAGAGGCAAAATACATATTTCGAAGAAGGTTACGGTACCTGTTTGAGATCACCACCACAATTACCACAGCAACGACAGCAGCAGAAACAGCACCCACAGACCGGCATAAAGATCACGTAGAGCAATCCGAGGACAAAACATATTCCAAACCCCATAGCGTAGTTAACCAGCTGGGGAGAGCAAAGTGATGAAAGCCTTTTAATCCCATTTTTATAGAGAAAGTTTTGATGTAGGACTTAAATATTACAGCAGTGTCTTTAAAAATCGTATCTTGCGAAAAATAAAATGTTCATCTTCTTATGTCCTTTCCAGACAACAGAAGATATACTATTTTTCTCTTTTTTTAAATTTAATTTTTTTCTCTAGTTCACTTATTACAAGGTACAAGTATTTGCCAATGGTTCAAAGATAAGCTGTTTCATTTGCATCATACTATATTTTAAATTTGTAACAGTTATATACTTCTCGCCTGATTACCCCTTATGCTTAACAGGAGCATAAGTTAATAAAAGAAATAACTAAAAATAAAATAAATTGATAAGATGAATAAATGATATGGAATGAAAATGAAAATATGGAAAAAGTTTCAATTAAAATAAAACAGGTACAATTTTTAGATGAAATATTGCTAATACTTGTACTCTATCACTTTATATTTCAATTACGTTCTAAATATTGAAATAAGGAAGCACCCATTATAGATATTAGCATAGTGAAGCATCCGTTCTAAATACTGACATAATGAAGCATCCGTTATAAATATTGGCATAACGAAGCATCGGTTATAAATATCGACACAACGAAGCATCGGTTCTAAATATTGAAATAATAAAGCATCCGTTATAAATATTGCAATAAGGAAGCATCCGTTCTAAATATCGACATATTGAAGGATCATCACTGCGACAACACAATGAAGCTTATTTTCAGATAATGTGAACATCTTAATCGAGTAGAAGAATGATCTGTGTTATTTGATCACTGATCGCTAGAAAATTCATAATGAAGCACGACCATATGTTATTATATATTATAACAGTAAATGTGTTAAACACAATGACAAACTCCCTAGATAGCAGTACACAGTTTCTCGGTGTGGCCATGGGTGATATTTTTGTTCATTAGAATACCCAATTATAAGGTTTTTATTAAAATTTCAAAAATAAATCCTTTCTAAAATTGGTCTCGTCATATTGAAGTGGACAGTATGGGGTTTCATTTTTTTCAGAATAATGTTTTAGCTTTGTGTTGGAGATTACTATTTGGGCAGTCTCGAATCTGTGTCTACGCATCAAAAACCAGCTTTACAAGAAGTGAAAATGTCATAGTATTTACATGTGGTCATGTTATGAAGGATTTCCGTGTTGGAATTTGCTGAAATGTAAGTACTTTGTTACCATGACAGTGTTGTTGATTTCAAGATAGGTATTTAGAAATAAATTTTGATGTCTTTATATTTATAATGAAAATTTTTTTAAAAAACTGAATGACCGTGATGCACTCAATGAGGATGGTATATACAAGTTAATTTAGCACTAAATGTCTACATATCGTTAATTAGCCACTATTATAAACAACAAAATACTCCAACTTCACCTACCTCCATATAACGTTCTCCAATATCAAAATTGTTGTTTAAAACATCTTTGATGAGACCTATCACAAAGAAAAACGTGATACGTTGAATTATATAGTATGAGAATAAACCTTTAGACGACCAAGTATTCAGATTTATAAAAGTTGTACTTTTCGGCGAAAATGTGAAATAATATCTATAAAACACTAGACAGTTAGGAAATTCTTCTTGTATACATATGTATCATCCATGTGTATCATTTGTTTCTAAAAAAAGGCCTTTATACAATATTTCGTTACACAATTGACATTTTTAAAAAATACTCATCAAATTATTCTTTTAGCGAAATGATACCAATAACATTGTTCTTGGTTATGACTGTGTCCGTGATTGAGACAATATTTCTGATGCAGTTTCAACAACAAGAATGCGTTACATATTTGAAGTTATTAGGCCAGGTGATTACAGAGTATAAATACAGAAGTAAAGAGTTATTTTTTCTAATGACATAGGTTTGGTTTGTTAAGATCTTAACATATATTGTAGTTCCGTTATTACGGTAAGTTATCTAAAACGTTGTTTTTCTTTACAGCAGATAGAATTTGCTTTACAAAAAAAGTACTTACTGAAAGGAAAATCATTTGGCTGCACTGTGTTGATGAAGCTTCTTGTAAAGGCGAATAACAAACCTAGGCCATCGTCTGAGTAGGTGTTCACAGTTTTATAGGCTATTCCCATAGGTCCTGTTCCCCAAGTCATGGTTCCATTTCCCCAGCCGGTGTTACCGTAAGTGTCTGTAATGATGCCTGCTTTTGCCACTCCTACCCCTCCAGCTGCCATCAATATCAGGAAACATCCCAGCCACATCCAATCCAGTCTCACAACCATGTTGTGTGTCAAACTGTTTCAGGCTAGAAATATTTCACATGCTTTTACCACCACGAAATTCTTCAACATCCGTAAACAAATTACTCAATTTTGAAACAGGTACCACTGGATCCTAAATCCTATTGTATTTATCTCTCACAAACTTAACTTAGATACCTCTGATACCAGTAAACTTGGAGAATCTATTATAATAATAAATGATAACTACGGTCCATGTAAGTATCTCATATTACTATCAATTATAGGCCACTGGAATAACACGTTAGTACCGGGAGGTACAAGAAAGGATAAAACAATTGTGTCCTACACGAAATTGAAATACATAAGTGTAAATATCAATACGTTTATTTCGTTCCCCATATCATACCGCTCTTGTTAATCTTCTTTATATGGTAAGATATAGCCCATTGGGTTAAACCTTATACCAACACGAAAACATTTGCTAAAAGTAATCCGGATTAATTCGTTTCTATTGTTATATTTAAATACAGGTCATGTCCTGTGATCGATTCGCCTGTATAGCATATCATTTAACTCTGTTGATAATATAATTGACATATAACAGCTCACTGATATTAAAACATACACTTAAAAGAGAGAGTTCAATATTTAGTAATGTTGTAAGTCATGAAAATACATTCTTCACTACCTTTATCTATTGCGTCGCTTAAGTTATCTGTTCAGATATAACACCGGAATAACATTAGATTCTAGAAACTGTGATTGTGGAACCGAAATCTGCTGTATTGTTGAATATAAGGTATTTAAGTAGTCATTTGCTCAAATTTAGTGGCATGCAATTATTTGTTGAATTTGGCAAATATATGTGCATTGATATTGTCATAAGAGGAACTCTTCTGAATTTTCAGCATTTAAATACCAAGTATCATGAGCGGAGATCCAACTGTATGTATTTATGTAACTTGACCAAATAAATACATTTATTTTCTCTGTATGTACATGTTTATGTCTATGGTTTTTACCCAGATTTCTTTGAGTGTTCGTTGTCTTTGCAACCGTAAACATAATAAAACACGATGGTTCTCCTCTCCGTTACAGATTAGTTAACCAAATTCCATTATATTTGTTTCATTTACTAATGATGTTAAAAATCAAGAAATTTAATAAATCTAGAAATATTTTTCTGGAATACTTCTTAAAAAGCACAAGTAGAATAAGACCAGGAGATCCTTAAGAGTAAGTGTCTTTTGACTTCACCGACGACAACCGCCAGGTAAATCTCGGTCAAGCCGTGTAAAGAATAAGGTATATTATAACGGAACCAACAGGCAAAATAACGAGCATAAAATACGCCCAGCTTCATGTCGCAAAAAGAAACAGAGAATATTTCTCAATGAGGTCACTACGACGAGCGTAAGACTTTCCCATAATTTCCACCAGCCTGCATCATTTGTAAACCATGTGTTTACGAGTTTGTCCGTGATTTCTTGCATGAAAATCGTGATAAAGGGAACAAGCCTTTGATATCGAATCAACTGCGACGTTTAAACACTAGAAGTTGGAGATGCAGGAATGTTGCTAACCAGAAATGGAAAATTCACAATTAGAAAATTGAAATCATTACGCTTATCCTATGTTTATGTATAGATCCATTCAACAGGTGTGTCATTTTTATTTAATTTGTCTAGATATTTCCCTCAGAAAGGCCAAAATACAACCTGCTTAATAAACGGTCTCTCAAAGATTTGGTCAATGCCGCACAATGTAGTCAGTCATTATTACAAAAAGACTCTCGCCCATGTTTTTGTTTTGTTTGTTTGTATTTTTAATAACTTGAACACACTGTTCGTTTTCAACAAGATTGGTACACATGTCCAAACGAGTATATTAGACATGAAAAGGAATAAAAAGTTCATGGACAAAGCAAAGTTTAGATTTCGAACAATATCCAGATAACGCGGTGATATCTTGCTGGTTCTAACATAACAACATATTGTGTAATTTTCAGATATAATGCAAACGGTTATTTTTAACCAAAACGGAGACCCGAAATTAATGCAAAGTTTAGAGTAGTTTCAATTCCTCATCATTGTCCGTGTCGACATTATATGACATATTAGAAAGATCTGTTCACAGGAGTGTTTGATTTGTATTGCTGAAAGTCATCACCAGACCCAGCATTTGAATTTCAAGGTATCACTGCTTCGTATCAACAGTTTCACAGACCAACCCTCCTATTCAGAACTTTAATCTTCATCTGATGTCCACGCCGACATATACGGTCCCACAAATGAGTTTGTCTTTATCTGATAGCTCAGACTGTTCGCGAAATTATTATCGCTGAAATCAAATTTGCTGTAACTTCCGATGTTCAACAATTAAAAACTGATATCGATGAACTGAGACTTGAAAATGAAGGCTTCAATCTGAAGTGGATGGCCTTGAACAGTACAGTCAGCGTGAAGGTGATTTTCGGGTATTATGGACGGGAGGATGGGAACACTAATGAGATCGTCCTTGAGGCTATGAGTAGTCTCCGCAGGGTCAGTTCTGAAACTAGAAGTTACCTCCCCTTTAGGACTGTTACAGGACAACATGCAATTACTGCTTCCATGCAGTAGTCCCACAAACGGATATACATATTGTATATGTTACATGGCTCGTATTGAAGAAATTGTGTGTGTTTTGATCTCATTTAGTATAAAATGGTCGTCACTAAACGTGGTGTTCAGTTAATCGTGGTAGGTTTATACATACCTGTATTAATGACATACAACAACTGTTTCTAAAGCGTGCAGTACATAAACATGCTTTTACTGTCGTGTAGTGACGGTACTTGAATCTACACGATTGTGTATAGTGTGTGTATCCAATACAATTCATTGCTAAAGTTTTTGTTGTAACACGAACGATTAGATCACATCGTATCTGTTGTTTGCTCTTACATGGCTGTACTTACGTACTCCCATGTACGTGTCAGTACTAAATGTTAATGCATACCAGATCTAACTTGATCAATTTAAACCTTATCTAAGTTGATCAATGTAAACCTTCTCCATGAACTACCACTACAAAAATACCTCGTAAGCTTAACATTGTTCGTAAACATGATCCTCCATGGGTGCATAGTGATATGCGCAGACTTATTCTAGTAAAAAGAGAATTTACTCTAAAGCTTAATCTAACCAAAACGTAAATACATGGGACCAATATAGACAGAAATCGTTGTGTTGATGCAGTCCACAACGCTAAGGAAAATTACCGATTTTGTTACTTGTAGATTACTTAAGGAAGGTAAACGCGGGTTACATTCTCCACCTTGCTAATTGTTTAATAATTCTCTGCATAACAAATTCATATATTACCCTGTCTTCAAAAAGAACGATCCTAGTAATATCTAACTACAGGGTCCATATCTCAAAGAAGTATAATTGCAAAAGCAATGCACCAATATGATTTTAAATACATGTATGTGCATAATTTTTTTCGTGATGGTGAATTCTTCACGAAACATCAATTTGGTTTTATGATTGGTGATTCAGTTGTCACTCAGTTATTGGTAAGTTGTGTTTGGCACAAAGGACTATTTCATAAGTTAAAATCATGTTGAATTTCAGGATCATCTTTGTTAGAGTAGTTTAAAATTATCTACCTAATAGGCAGCAACGTGTTATGTTAAATGGCAGTAGGTATCCATACTCAAATTAAATCTGGTGTTGCTCAGGGCTCTATTCTAGGACCATTATTTCTGATAATTAATTTCGATTAACGATATTGTATCAAACATTGACATTAGTTTGGTAATTGATAACCCTATTACCTCAGGTCTTAATTTAAATATGGATCTTCCAAACGTTCAAGACTTGACAACTACATGACGAGTTAAGTTTTATGAGACAAAAATGAAAATTATTAATTAGTAGAAAACAAAAGTGTCAAATGCCTGCCTTAACAAGTAAAATGATACGAATTCGTAAAGTGGTACACCATATTACTCCGTCATATGTCTGATAGCATACCCCCTAAACATTCTGAAATCCGTGGTCAGAATACCAGACAAGCAAACGATTTATCGTAGATGAACACTAGAACTATGCATTACAAAATTTTCTCTTGTACTATAATCTATCATAATCTTTGTACCTCTTATCAGCTATGTGTATGCTGGTCAGTTTATGGGAGATGACTAACATAAGCTACACACTTGTTGTCAAATCCCTTTTCACTTTTGTTTATTCTGTGCCTTTTTTGTTTTTCAAAAATAATGAATTTAAGAGTTTTTGCATCCAAAATAATGCCGGTTTGCAAAGGATAAAAGCATTAAAATTGGTAGAGTTACAAATTTATAATAATTTTATTGATTCTTACAGTGATTTTAAACAAATAACGAGGATATTTGATTCTCGCTGACATCATGGTATCTCATTCCAGGCATCTTTGATTTTTAGATACATTTGATGCCTTAATGTCATTCTAAGAGAAAGTTGAGTATTCGAAACGAGTTCGAAAATATCTTATTTAAAAATCTATCAGTTTAGAATTAAACATTTTTTTCTTTAGGTTATCGATTGTCTCTTGTTCACCTATATTAAGACCTAATATAAAATATATTGTATTGATATTTTATCATAAGATATACAGGCATTTTAATTATATGTTAAAAGACCAAATCCAAAATGTTTTGTTAAAAAAATAGCTTGGTATAAACTATATAAATATAGTGAAAACGCACAAAAGTGTATAGCATTTTCCGAATCGGAATCGTATTTAGAATCAGTATAGCCATATCATAATAAAATTATATATGAATAAAATTGCATCATACAGTCGTTTCGTCCGTCTAGGACTCATCAGTGATGTTACATCATACAGCTGTGGCTGGCAAAGATTGACTTTTTACTTCAGACACTAGAGTGGTAGACGGGACAATAACCAATGTTGGTTAAGCTGATACTGTTACAGGTTCTACTAAATTGACTGAACATAATGATTATAAAGTCAATAAGATTAAATTTACTGGAACATTCTCGAAGGAATTA